TATACACAGGTAAACGAATAAATATTTACTCAATTTAGTATGAGGTGTATACAAAACAGTGTTCAATGTCGTTAGATCTAAGAAGTAAATATTAATAAATATGCATATATTTACGTTCGAATTGCAATTTAAGTTTCGTTGTTCTACCAACTCATCAGGCACGAATCATTACTTAAAAAAATATTAGGTTTCATGGGAATAACGATAAATTAAGCTCAGATTCAAAGCTCAAATTTAATATAAACTTAATATATTATTGGGTGTACATACAAAATGTAGAGTGTAGGTGACGGGGCTATTGCAAAAGAAAAAAGGCAAAGTTTGAAAGAGGAAGATTTAAATCTACAATAAGAACAATATTAAGATTAGCTACAGCTGCATTAAAAACCTTGAGCAAAATATAATACTGCATATTAATGTAATTTCAAAAAAAATACTTAACCCCAATAGCAATATTAACACAGAAAAAGTATAATTATCGATGAACGATAAAAAAAATCTAACCATTCATCCTAAATTAACGTTTTATCATCCTTGGGATGATGGGGGAGGGGTTTATTAGTTTCAAGCCTTGATATCTAAGACTGGTGGAACATTTGAATTACCTTTAAGATATTTTACAATAATTATATAATAATTTTGAAATTCAGTGAGTCGTATGCACTTGTGTAGAATTAGAGATGCTAACTTGTAGTTGTTGTTTGGATACCACTTAGGTATAAGGATTTGAAGCCTCTGATTTCTTCATAAGTCATTCTGGTCTACATTAGTTTAGCATAGGATAATTTATTTTCAGTTGGTCCTTTTTAATTTTAACTTAGCTAAGATATGGAAGCACATCAGTCCCCTTTTTTTTTTTTTTAACTCCCCTCTTTGTTTAGTTTAATTTGACTATTAGGTGACAGGTGTTTCACTTCACTGGTAGATGCGAGATGCATTTTTTTCTTTCACCCAGTAAGCTGGTATTTCTGCCACAAATAGGTCTGGGGAGGGGATCTCCATTACTAATACAATTTTGTTTGGTTTTGTTCATAACTTTTATATCATTGGAAATAAACATTTTCCTTATTTTAACCACCCTCCCCCAACTGCCAAATTGTACATATGGACTTTTAGAGATACAAAAGACAATTATCTTCCTTTGGTTGAAATAAACTCATGAGGGTCACATCATGTCCTAATAGTCGACTTGTGATAAAAAGAAAAAGGAGATTCCTTGATTATATCAGCTTGGGAGCCGCTCCCAACATGTGGCGACGATAGGAAGCGACTACAAGATCATGCCACGTGTTGACCAAATTCATAGACGAAGCTTTTCACTACCACGAAGTAATCATGATAGGGTGTTTTTGTGCGGTGATCATGTTAAATTCCATATTGGTGACAGTTTCTAGAAGAGAACACAATGTCCGCTCAGCATTGTGGCAGTGTAAACCCCAGACTGGCTCTTGTTAGATACAACACGGATGAGCTAGCTGTCAGAGCAATGGAAACGAGATCAATTTTTTATGTCTTATCAGCCTATTGTGCGTTATATATCTCCGAAACATCTTGTAATAATAAATGGATATTACATTAAAAATGTTTTGACAATAACAATGATTTTTTTTCATATACAATTCGTATAATTTAACCTATATTTGGGGGAGATGTATTCATAATTTTACCTTTTATTTTGTGGAAACTAGAATAGAAGCATTATAGAAAACAACCATAATAAAAGCTGTTATAGAAGTGATAGAACGAAAATAGAGGTGGGCGAGCGACATCGCAAGAAGGAAAGATAATAGATGGAGCAAAAGGTCGGTTGTGTGCTGCACAGTAAATAGCAAATGCAAGATGAATAAAACAGACGGGGAGATATGGAATTAGGTAATAAAACCTGGCAAAGAATTGCACAGTCATTGTCGTCATGGAAGGAGTTGTAAAAGCCTTCATCCCGTAGTGAGCTCACAATGTCGAATGATAACAACGCATTTATATATATATATATATATATATATATATATATATATATATATATATATATATATATATATATATATATTCATGAATTATTCATACAAAAACAAATACAAAGGTTAATGATTTAATTGGCGAGAAATCCATCGTCGCGAACAATTCAAATAATATACAAACCCAAACCTGTTATGAATGAAAAGATCCTTGTTTTTATAAATTTCTGTTGCATTAGTTCTTATTTTTACTACAAGCTTTCGTCTATTCCTACAGACATTTTCAGGTATGGAATAGATGTAGTTCTTGTTTTTACTCTCAAATAACTGATCCAAGTGCAAATTTGGATAAAAAGTGCTACATTACTGTAATTATTGAACAATATAGTTCATGCCACTTTGACAGAAAATTTACCTGTAAAAAAAAAAAAAATTCGCTTATCACCACCATATTTGTACAAGAACGCACAATTGTAAAATTTAAAATCAAACTCAGCGTTGCTACTGCACGCTGCAAAAAACAATAACTCATTTCTAATAGCATTTTTCGGATACAACAATACATATATTTTCGTTGTCCTCTTATTACTGAGAGTAAAAACAAGAACAACATCTATTCCATACCTGAAGATGTCTGTAGGAACAGACGAAAGCTTGTA